TGGTGATTACATAGAGTACATCAGTATCTGTCCAAAACTAATATATCTGAGATGTAAACATATCCATAAAGTAGGACAGAAGATGCAAAGGATATGCCGGCATAGAAAAGAAAAAAAAAAGAACAATTATAATAGGTACAGTTGTGACCAAAAATTATTCAACCCCCACTGAAATTGAGTGTTTTGGCCAGTTTGACATTGCTTTTTGATCATTCAGTCATCTTGCTTACATTTACATTAAAGAGGCACTTGTAGTCAGACAAATATAACATAACAGTTATAATGAAATAACCACAAATGTCTTTTCTGTGCTCACACAGCATTATCAGTTTTTATTCAACCCCCAAGTGACATTCAATCTTAGTACTTAGTACAGCATCCTTTTACAGTTATAACAGCTTTTAAAACGTGAAGCATAGCTTGACACAAGTGTCTTTGCAGCGATCTACGGGTATCTTCGCCCATTCTTCATGGGCAAAGGCCTCCAGTTCAGTCACATTCTTAGGCTTGCGCACTGCAACTGCTTTTCTTTAAGTCCCACCAGAGGTTCTCAATCGGATTTAAGTCTGGTGACTGCGATGGCCACTCCAAAATGTTCCAGCCTTTCCTCTGCAACCATGCTCTAGTGGACTTGGAGGTATGCTTGGGATCATTGTCCTGTTGAAAGGTCCAACGTCTCCCAAGCCTCAGGTGTGTGACGGACTGCATCACGTTTCCATCCAATATCTCCTGTAATTTTTTTCTGAAGAGAATTCATGGTACCCTTTGCACACGCTGAAGCTTCCCTGTACCTGCAGAAGCAAAACAGCCCCAAAGCATGATTGACCCTCCACCATGCTTCACAGTAGGCAAGGTGTTCTTTTCATCATAGGCCTTGTTCTTCCTCCTCCAAAACATAGCGTTGATCCATGGGCCCAAACAGTTCTAATTTTGTTTCATCAGTCCACAGAACACTATCCCACAACTTTTTGTGGTTTGTCCACATGGCTTTTGGCATACTGCAGTCGACTCTTCTTATTCTTTGGAGACAGCAAGGGGGTACGCCTGGGAGTTCTGGCACGGAGGCCTTCATTACGCAGTGTGCGTCTTATTGTCTGGGCTGAAACTTCTGTACCCACATCTGACAAATCTTTTCTCAGTTCCTCAGCAGTCACACGGGGACTTCTCCTCCACTCTACGCTTCAGGGTAGCGCACAGCAGTCGAAGTCAGCATCTTCTTTCTGCCACGACCAGGTAGCGTTTCAACAGTGCCCTTTGCCTTGAATTTGCGAATGATGCTTCCTAAGGTGTCTCTTGGTATGTTTAACATCTTTGCAATCTTCTTATAGCCATTGCCCTTCCTGTGAAGAGAAATCACCTCTTCTCTTGTCTTCCTGGACCATTCTCTTGCCTTCACCATGTTTGTAACCACACCAGTAAATGTCTAGAAGAGCTGAGTATCACAGTCATTTTAAAGCTGCCTAATTTGGTGCTATATTATGCTTGATTGCTGCTCGGTGACATCCACAGGTGTTTTCAATACCTGATGGAAAGCACCTGTATGAACCTCTGTTCTTCAGAGTGGTAGTCTTTAAGGGGTTGAATAATTGTGGCAATGAAGAAAACCACATAAGAACCATTTACTACTGTATTACATAAACAATTGATGTCATTTTAGTTGCATTTGGGTAGTTACAACGTCCTTGTAGGATTTGATTCTGAATACAATTCCAAATGTACACTATAGTCCCTAAACCCCTTTACAGCATTGGGGGTTGAATAATTTTTGGTCACAACTGTATGTATGCAAAAAAAATATTTCAGATTATCAAGACTAAGCAAATTTTTCTGAAGGTTCAACCCAACAGCAATGGTGGCATTTTTCTGAAGGTTCAACCCAAAAGCAATTGGTGGCATTTTTCTGAAGGTTCAACCCAACAGCAATGGGTGGCATTTTTTCTGAAGGTTCAAACCCAACAGCAATGGTGGCATTTTTCTGAAGGTTCAACCCAACAACAATGGTAGCATTTTTCTGAAGGTTCTACCCAACAGCAATGGTGGCATTCTTCTGAAGGTTCTACCCAACAGCAATGGTGGCATTCTTCTGAAGGTTCAACCCAACAGTAATGGTGGCATTTTTCTGAAGGTTCAACCCAACAGCAATGGTGGCATTTTTCTGAAGGTTCAACCCAACAGCAATGGTGGCATTTTTCTGAAGGTTCAACCCAACATCAACGGTGGCATTTTTCTGAAGGTTGAACCCAACATCAACGGTGGCATTTTTCTGAAGGTTGAACCCCAACAGCAATGGTGGCATTTTTAGACAGAATCACAGGCAAGTCATTAGAAGATAATTCACCGAGAAAGTGTTATTGGTAATAATGCAATCAGGTAGGTTCACATATGTGCGTGTGGAGCCGCTGCGGATCCACACAACATTCCTCACAGGCTCTGCTGCAAAACCAACAAGTGCTGGCCTGGCTCTTCTCACTCCAGCAAAAGGGACATTGATCTCTGTACTATGGATAAAAGCAACTTTTCCTTTTCAAATCTCCTGATCGGTAGCAAGGGTCACTTCTGACACTGAAAAGCACTTTTTCGGAGACTTCCAACATTTCTCCTCATCTCTTCCATTTGGCCTTTAGAAATCTCTACAGGGCTTTTTATAGGGCTGGGCTAAGGAATGAGCTCTTCCTGAAGAAGTCAAATCTGCCAGCAAGTTCAAAGACACATTACAAGTGAATAAATATTTATACAAGTACTTTTACAAACTTGATTTTTTTGCCCTTACATGAAGTTTTTTTAAATAAGTAACAGGGTCTTTTTTTTTTTTGACCAGCAGGCATCTTGTGGTGGCTTCTCATAGCCAGGGCTTTAAATTGTAAAATCTTAAAATGGCCAACCAACAGCATCACTAGACATTACCCAAGTGCAACCGGCATTTAGAGATTATTTTTGATTCATCATTTGAGATAAGAATTTAAACAGGAATATTCTAAAAACAAGGAGCAAATATTCATCAATGGGCAAGGATTTAAATGGAAAAAAACAAAAAGACCTACGTTGGTGCCATTCACACAAAATCTTGACAATTTTTGCTTTTGTAATATGGGGAAAAAGGTACAAATCTGGGAATTTATTTGCCACAGAAGTTAAGCAGAGAAACATAGAATTAGCATGAAATCTTCCTCATTGAGCTTTGGGTCAACTTGACCCAATATGGGAAGACAATGCTTCAGGTCAGGGGCAGACTGACCATTTGAAAACTAGGGCACTGCCCGAGGGCCCTGGGTCAGTAGGTGGCCCCATGAGATGCCCCTGGTACCTTTTTCATAGGCTTTTTTGAGTTTGGGCAAGGACACAGGGGCTTTTACTGGGGTTGGAAGAGCTCATTATTGGTTGCGGATTTTCCTACAACTGTGCAATGGTTCCTTTTTCTGTGCGAGAGGAGAATAAAGCATTCACATAAGTCACTTTTTAACCACATGTACCGCCCTGCCCTAGGCTGGCTACATTTCATTTTTGGCTGTGCTGCACCCAGCTGAGCATCAATTTATTTTCTAGGTCTGGTCTCTCCAAGTCTGGTGGTTGATTGATCCTGTCTGCCTCTGGAAGAAGCTTCCAAAAATGGAGTAGGAGGGTTAGCCACTGGGTTATGAATATTTATCTGACATTAGCCTATCCTTGGAAGGCTGGACCAGAAGGTGTGGTTGGGGAGTAGGTAAATGTTTGGGAGGGTCTTATCAGAGGTATTTCTCTTAGAGCCTATCCCACTGGGAGGCAGCCATTGTTACTGAAGAGCTGTTGTCAGGTCTTAGCATGTGCTTGGTTGAGGGCCTTAGAGGAACCTGGACTTAAAGAAGCTTGCTGGTAGACACTGCTTGTCAAAGCTGGGCTAGAGTGGGGAACCCTTTCAGTGAAGAGTGTCATGGAGAAGCTGGTTGGGAGCGGTCTCTTGAAAAGTTGTGAGTAGGACCTTGCCTAGAACACCAGGGGTGCTTGTGCTTTGAGGGTTAGATGATAGAGGTAGCTACAAGTATTGCTTTTATAGAGTCTCATACTCTACCTCTAGCAATACTTAAGGCTGCTTCTGAAGGACATTGCTTGAGAATTTGTTCTCGGTTTTGGAGTATCCTGCACCCTCATCCCTCTATGCACCTGTGTTCAAGTACTGCAATAAGTCTTCAGACAGACACCCCTAGACCGAGCCTGAAGTTTTTCGGTATGCTCTGGAACTGGTACCTTGGGCCTTGCAGCCATTGAAGAGGTAAGGAGACTTGGGTTATTTCCAGCAACCCCTCCAGGGGTAAGCACGATGCACCATTCAGATTCGACATTATGGTAGAAAATGAGAGCTGTATGTGATCTACCATGTGGCTATAGGTTTGTAGACACCTTACCATCTAATCTATAGAAGTTTGTTGGCCATCCTATTCCAAAACCATGTGTGTTATTATAAAGTCCCACCCCATCCCCTTTGCAGATTTACGATCCTCCACTCTTCCGGAATGGCTTTCCACAAGATTTTAGAATGCATATGTGGCAATTTGTGCCCATTCAGCCACAAGAGCTTTTGCGAGGCCAGGTACTGATATTGGATCTAGCTCACAGCATTCAAATTCATCCCAAAGGTGCTCAATAGTGTTGAGGTCAGGGCTGTGTGAAGGCCACTTGAATTTCGCCAAACTCATCAAACCATGTCTTTAATGAGGGCCTTCCCCAAACTGTTGCCAAACGTTGAAGGCACACAATTGTCTTAACATGTCTTTGAATTCTGTAGTATTCGCAGTAACCTTTAATGGAAACATCTGAACTCAAATATTTAGGGAGGTGTCCACATACTTATGGCCATATTCTCTTAAATTTGAAATGAACTTGTGGCCTTGGTGGAGTATTGACCCCATTAATATATTTCATAAACAAAAGTTAGTTAAGCAAAAGTTAGTTTTCATCCATAAATGTATTAGATTTCAATTGATTTAGTTGCTAATTTATAGATTTTTCAGTGTAAGGAACGGACTTTAATCTTTGCGGACCTTGACATAGACTGGATCTCCCACTCTCAGTTTCCCGGTTTGCTCCACTCCGTAGTATTGCCCAAAAAGTGGAGAGTTCTTGTATAGATGGCTCAAAGAAGAATCGCTCTTTCGGAAGGTCCTCAACGTTTCCAGAGGCTCCTTCCGGCTCATGACTCCGGTATTCGGATCCACTGTGGTCAGGAGACAACGGCCACAGGCCATGACCCTCTTAAGCTCTGTGGTGCCCACTTTCACATCATTCCAGCCATCCTCAGCAAAAGCCTCACATCCAGACACCACAATGCAGGGCCTGAAATTTCCCAGAGTGACCGGATTCTCTAATCGCTTGTTCAGCTCCTCCAGGGACGTTTCAGAAAGGAGCATGACAGGGCCAGCATCTGAATAAGCAATGATGTCTTTGTCCCGAAATGGTTTTTCCTGCTCCCTTGCCTTTCGTGGTTTCATGACACCAGGCTCATAGTGCACCAAGCGGTATGGCTGGCTGCTTTGAAAATATGCGGTCAGCCACCGAGACACATCGTCTCCGCAATCTCGGCCTTGGATGTCAGTTCCGAAGACCCGGCAGTCCAACACCTTGTTGGTCTTCGGCTGAGAAAAGGGCACCATTATCTTCTCCATTCCAGGAGCATCAAGACAAAGAGAGTCTCCAAGCCTGTTAACATTGATCAGGACAATTCGAGGCTCCTGCCTGCCGGTCACCATGTGACCGTCCTCTGCCACCACCAGCCAGTGCCGATCTTCGAGCTCCCCATTTCTCAAACCAAGATCCAAGCATTCAGCCTCTTGAACCGAGACAGGACGGCATGACTTAATGGGGTATATGAGGAGCTGCGACACTGTGCCCACCTGAGACAGCTGCCAATGTGTTCTCCTCCACCACACCCAGGAGGCGATGGCGGTGATGCCCAGCCCAGCTGCGCAGAGCAGCGGTAAACGATGACGCGGAACGTCCTGCACAGCTCCAGAGACGCTTGAGACAAAGGAGTGAAGAAATCTTGACATTGTCGCAGATGTCTTCTGTGGACGGAGGTCACTGGTGCCGGTCAAACCCTAGAATGATAGAAATCGGGTCATGGACTGACGTAACAAAAAATATTTACTTAATGCTGAACAAAAGGAAAACCACTAAACAGGGGCAGACTGACAACTCATGGGGCCCCTGGGCAATAGGAGATCATGGGGCCCCTGTGTCCTTGTCCACACTCAAAGCACACCCAAAAAAGCCTATAAAAGGTATCAGGGGCATTTCATGGGGCCCCCTACTGACCCCGGGCCCTCGGGCAGTGCCCGAGTGCTCGAATGGTCAATCCACCCCTGTCAATAAATATAAAAGGGAAATATAAAGTCATCTCTCAGCTAGACTGGCGTTTCAGCACCCAACACCGGATAGCCACAGTTGTAAGCTGAATGGTCTCCACTGCAGTTCAGCATTACAGCCTGGTCACTGGCCCACCTTCCAGGCTGCTGATTGGGCAGTAAAGTAGCCTCATTACACCAACTGAGTCATCACTCTGCTCCATCCTACTGTCAGGAAGCTCCCAGTGTTAGATTGACAGCACTGAGCAATGCTGTGGATGCCTGATTGGCCATCATCACTGCACCTCCATCACTGTAAAATATGGGATGTGAATGCTAGAACATATATTGATACTGCCTATTTGCAATCTTCATTACAACAATACATCTTTAATGGGGGGCTCTGATGGGGACTCTGATGTAAGGGGGTGAGGACTCTGATGGGGACCCTGATGTAAAGGGGGGGGGGGGGGAACTCTGATAGGGACCCCGATGTAATAAAGGAGGGGACTCTGATGGGGACCCTGATTTAAGGGGGGGGGGGGGGACTCTTTTGGGGACCCCGATGTAAGGGATAAGGAAAGTAGAGGACTCTGATGGGGAAGGGACCGGATTTAAGGGGGGGAACCCCCTGATGTAAGGGAGGAGAGGACTCTGACGGGTACCAGGATGGATTGAATTAGGGTACCCTGATGGAGACGCCAATATAAAGGGGGCTCTGATGGGGACCCCAATGTAAGGGGTGGGGGACCCCAATGTAGGGAGGGGACTCTTATGGGGACCCTGATGTAAGGGAGAGGAGACCCTGATGTAAGGGGGGGGGGGATCCCGATGGGGACCCTGATTTAAGGAGGGGAGGGGACCCCTATGTAAGGGGGGAAAGGGACCCTGATGTAAGGGGGGAGGGGACCCTGATGTAAGGGGGAGGAGGGGACCCCAATGTAAGGGGGAGGAGGGGACTCTGATGGGGACCCTGATGTAAGGGGGGAGGGGAGGGGACCCTGATGTAAGGGGGGGGGAAGGGACCCTGATGGGGACCCTGAAGGAAGGGGATTCCAAAGTAAGGTGAAGGGAACTCTGATGGGGACCCCGATGTAAGGGGAGACTCCTGTATGGGGGGGACTGATGATAGGGGGGTATTTTACTGAAGTTCTCTCTATTTTGTTATGAAACATACTCAGGGGCGGACTGACCATTTAGGCACTCTGGCACTGCCCGAGGGCCTGGGGTCAGTAGGGGGCCCCATGAGATGCCCCTGGTACCTTTCATAGGCTTTTTTGGGTGTGGTTTGAGTGTGGACGAGGGTACAGGGGCCCCTTGATTTCCTATTGCCCGGGGGCCCCATGAGTTGTCAGTCTGCCCCTGAACATACTATACGGATTCCAAAATGTATTAATTGATTTATGAACATTTTTTTTTGCCCGCGATTATTTGTAAAACGTATGATGTGGCTTCTGTACTGAAAGACCCCGACGTTAGATCCACAGAGAATCCACAGGAAGGCAGAACCCCTAATCAAGAATGTTTGATTTTACTCCACCAGGGGAGAGATGTCCTTCCTGATCCCGAGGAGGCAATCCGGTGCGCCTGGACTCAGCAATCTCCGCTGTTATCACCTGTAAATGTTAATAGTTACCATTCGTGTTTTCAACAACTGAACCGGCCGAGCCAATCCCACATTCTTCCCATAGGAGAGTGGCGGCAGAAACACGCAGCGCTCCATCCAGGCGGATAGATTTTTTGTTTGTGTGGTTTTTTTTTTTCTAGGAATAAACCTCGGCTGGAAGTTCATTCCAAACATCAACTACTCCTTCAGTAAAATAATACTTTCTGCGATTAGTTTTGAACTTTCCACCACTTAGTTTAGGGTCCTGTCCTCATTTTCTTGATTTTGGTTTCAAGTTGAAAATCCGGCCCCCCTGACCCTTATTCACCCCCTTGATGTATATAAAGGTGTGACGGGAGTCACTTTGGGTGGGGGGCCCATGGAACCCAGCTCACCCCTGTCTCAGCTCCCCATATCCCTCTTATGTGTAAGTCACCCTGTGCCTGTTAGGGGTACAGGGTGATCTGTCCTAATATTGGGGTGGGGGGTTATGGATGGTTTACTGCCATGTGGTTGTATCCATTGTTCTGTTGTGTGTCTGGCTTGGGAGCAAACTATTATGGGATGTATGTGCTTATGTGTATTGGCTTGGTGGGGGGGGGGTGTCTGCAGCAGCCCTCCCTCCTGATGGGACTGTCTGCTGGAGTCTCTCTTGTTACTAAATGTAGATTGCCCCGCCCTGTGTCATTATGCAGGGGGGGGGGGGGTTGTTCCCTTGAATGTATATATCTTGTATCAGTGTTAAAATAAAGTAGTCTATTTCCTGGTTTTCCTTCAAGACCGGTGTCCGTGATCTGTGTTCGGATGGGGAAGCGGGAGTCTAACGGAAATACCCAAGTGCAGTCGGGGTCCGGTTCCATTGCAAAACATTTCAGCCATGTCTCCCCTTTCCTCCTGCCATTCTGCTAAACGTGGACTGGATTCACTAAATTGTATCCAGAATAATGAACAAAGTGCAAATAAACATTATTGCAGAGTAGAACAGGTGTACAGACCCGAGAACTCAGCACAGGGATGGTGGGGGAACCCCTCATAATGGGCACAGCAGGGGTACAGACTCCGGAACTCAGCACAGGATGGTGAGGGAACCCCTCATAATGGGCACAGCAGGGGTACAGACTCAGGAACTCAGCACAGGGATGGTGGGAACCCCTCATAATGGGCACAGCAGGGTGTACAGACCCGGGAACTCAGCACAGGGATTGTGGGAACCCCTCATAATGGGCACAGCGGGTGTACAGACCCGGGAACTCAGCACAGGGATGTCGGGAACCCCTCATAATGGACACAGCGGTACAGTGTACAGACCCGGGAACCCAGCACAGGGATGGCGGGAACCCCTCATAATGGGCACAGCGGGTGTACAGACCCAGGAACCCAGCACAGGGATGGCGGGAACCCCTCATAATGGGTACAGCAGGCGTACAGACTTGGGAACCCAGCACAGGGATGGTGGGAACCCCTCATAATGGGCACAGCGGGTGTACAGACCTGGGAACTCAGCACAGGGATGGTGGGAACCCCTCATAATGGGCACAGCGGGTGTACAGACCCAGGAACTCCCGCACATGCACATGGAGGTGGGAATCCCTCATAATGGGCACAGCAGTTGCAGAGACCCAGGAACTCAGCACAGGGATGGTGGGAACCCCTCATAATGGGCACAACAGGGGTACAGACTCAGGAACTAAGCACAGGGATGGTGGGAACCCCTCATAATGGGCACAGCAGGCGTACAGACCCAGGAATTCAGCACAGGGACGGTGGGAACCCCTCATAATGGGCACAGCGGGTGTACACACCCGGGAACTCAGCACAGTGATGGTGGGAACCCCTCATAACGGGCACAGGGGGGGAATGTACAGACCTGGGAACTCAGCACAGGGATGGTGGGAACCCCTCATAACGGGCACAGCGGGTGTACAGACCTGGAAACTCAGCACAGAGATGGTGGGAACCCCTCATAATGGGCACAGTGGTGTACAGACCCGAGACTCAGTACAGGGATGGTGGAAGCCCTTCATAACGGGCACAGCGGGTGTGCATGGTGGGAATAGTGTGTGTACAGCAGAGAACATATGACAAATATAAAGCCTGAGTTGCTGTAAACATTGGGATCCATCAGCAGAATGTGGGGATTAGGGGCACAATGCATGCAGGAACTCCAGAGAAGAGTTTTGCTAATTTCAGTTCTGGACGGAGTGAGGATTCTTGGATTAGCGGAGAATAAAAAGAGATCTCACCGTCCTTCTGCAAAGCTGTGCGTGTCTGCAGGCCGGAGCTGATCCTCCTGCGTGGAATCCACAACGTTCTCCTTCCCAGGACGGGGCGGGAGGAGTCCTGAACTATTCACAGCTCCAGCAACAGGCAGGGGGGGGGGGGGGGGAGAGCAAAGTCCTCCATTCACAGAGCCGGCCTTGTGACGAGACTCACATGTGCCAAGTCTTCATTACTGCCGGCCTAACGAGGCCAATATCACCGTATTATCTTGTGTGATCATGGCGGGTTCCCTGCTATCTAAAGGCAAAAAACATGTAACCCAATTCCAAAAAAAATATATATATACAGTTGTGTTGAAAATAATAGCAGTCAGACATCACTAACCGGATCAATCACTGTTTTTGGTGGAAATGATATTTCTATATGGCAAATAATTTCCTAGCAGGTGTAGTAGAGTAATAGAAATCCAACAGACCCAACAGTCATGACATGCATGCTGCTGATTCTGTGTCATTGAATCACTCATTGAAAGGGGCGTGTTTACAATAATCGCAGTGTGGAGTTCTATTAGTGAGGTCATTCATTCTTTGAAAATCAGGTGGCAATTGTTGCCCTTATTTAAGGAAGGAAGGCAGCAAATGTTGGACATGCTGGTTACAGTGCATTTCTCTCTGAAATTCTGAGGAAAATGGGTCGTTCCAGACATTGTTCAGAAGAACAGCGTACCTTGATTAAAAAGTTGATTGGAGAGGGGAAAACATATAAAGAAGTGCAGAAAATGATCGGCTGCTCAGCTAAAATGATGGCAAATGCTTTAAAATGGCAACCAAAACCTGAAAGACGCGGAAGAAAGCGAAAAACTACCATTGGAATGGATAGAAGAATAGCCAACATGGGGCGGACTCAGCCAACAATCAGCTCCAGGAAGATGAAAGAAGGTGTGACGTTCCCTGTGAGGACTGTTACAATTAGAAAATAATCCAAGATCCTCCTGCGCTATGAAAATGGAAAGACTAAACCTATTCTATAGCTGCCAGCACTCAAAACTGATACCAAACAACAGTGTCAATAAATCATGAACAAACAGTGCAGCGCTCTAAGAGACTGTATCTACAGCTAGGTGATAATAAATCAATAAAATAAATATCATACAATAGTGCCAAAAAATAAAAAATGGTGCCAAACCATAACCTTGTAAATGGTGTGTACACAATTAATAATACTTAATCACACTCCAAATAACATCCAAGAAAGGAAATCTTAGCAGTGCTCACACAGTGCCACAAAAAATAAACATAAAATATATGTAATCAGAACAATGTCCTTTTCCGTGCAAAATGACATAAATCATGCGATGTGCAACAGTGGTATTGAATGCAAAACGTGACTGTGCCAAGCTCTTCCTCGTTAGTGGCTAAATTGCCTCCTCACCTCCTCCTACTGACCCCAAGGGGCCAACAGGCTTGCAGGATCACCCTGGATCCTTAATTGACCATGACCAGCAGCTTCCTTCCTTCCCTGGATCTCCTTAGAGGGGCTCCTAATGCCCCTATTCGATCAGGGCGGTCCTGAAGAGTAATAGCTCACAATCCAGTGAGCCACAAAAAGAGCCTCTAAGTGCAGTATTCAATTAACTTGATTTATTTCAGAGAGTAAAAAGTAGGTTTCACTCACATTACAGACAGTCTTCCCTCCTCACTGATGTGTGGGTGTACTGCATGTGGCTAGGACTTCTTGGGTGTAGCAAAATGGCGTCTCACGCCGGAAATGCGTCACCACGCACCGGAACTACGAACTCGCGTACCTACGCGTTACGTCACCGTCTACTCGTGACTTCATCTGGGTATCACACTACGAGTGCAGTTCCTCCCTTTATACTGGACCTAATATGATGGCTTGACTGGAGGCCCGCCTCCCATGTATTCAACGGTGCCCGCGTTGAATACATGTGAAGCCAAGCTATCTGCAAGAAGTCCCCGCAAAGTCCCACTGTTGGGAAAAAGACGTGTGCTGAAGAGGTTACAATCTGCCAAAGAGCACATTGACCGGCCTAAAGAGAAATGGTGCAACATTTTGTGGGCTGATGGAAGTAAGATTGTTCTTTTGGGTCTAGTGGGCGGAGACAGTTTGTCAGACGACCCCCAAACACTGAATTCAAGCCATGGTACACTGTGAAGACCGTGAAGCATGGTGGTGCAAGCATCATGATATGGGGATGTTTCTCATACTACGGTGTTGGGCCTATTTATCGCATACCAGGGATCATGGATCAGTTTGAATCCATCAGAATACTTGAAGAGGTCATGCTGCCTTATGCTGAAGAGGAAATGCCCTTGAAATGGGTGTTCCAACAAGACAACGACCCCAAACACACACCAGTAAACGTGCAACATCTTGGTTCCAGACCAACAAGATGGACGTTATGGAGTGGCCAGCCCAATCCCCGGATCTTCATCCAATAGAAAACTTGTGGGGTGACATCAAAAATGCCGTTTCTGAGGCAAAACCAAGAAATAGAGAAGAACTGTGGAATGTGGTCCAATCATCCTGGGCTGGAATACCTGATCACAGGGGCCAGAAGTTGGGGGACTCCATGCAACACAGATGTACAGCAGTTCTCAGAAACAGTGCGACTACAACCAAATATTCATGAAGTCATTCAAAGGAAAGCAAAATCTTCAAACATTTCTCAGTTTATATAGTGAATGTTTGAGTTTGTAAAGAAGAATACAAACGCTGCGATTTTTTTGAACCGTCTAATATTCACTTTTCTTCCATTTTTTAGAGGAACAACACAAATTTGATGTATTTTTCTTCATGTTGTGATTTGGAATAGAATGTGTCGTGTTCCCAATGCATTTGTGTGGATGGAAAAAAGTATTAGAAGGATTTTCAGCTTTATTCACTTTTTTCAACACACTGCTATTATTTTGAACACAACTGTAAATCCCCCGAATATTGGACACGTCACAGAATTAGTCATGCAACGTATCACAATCCACTATGGGGAACTGTGTCACGCTACAACATGCGTGTTGCCTTAGTATCTTGGGGTGACATTCACAATGAATAACACCACAGCATGGCAAATCTGAAATTTTTCTTCTTTTTTTGCATATTTGATCATTATTTGTATATTGACGCTTTACTTTTTTTAGGTTATTGTATCACTCAACCCTTCTCCTTGATTGTAAGCTCCCAGGATCAGGGCCCACTGTGTCCTCTTGTATTGTAACTGTAATGTCCGCCTTCATTTTGTAAAGTGCTGAGCAAACTGTTGGCGCCATATAAATCCTGTATAATAATAAATAATAATAATTGCTGATCAAGAAAAGTTTTCCAGCATTTCCCTTCAACAGAAGTCAATGAAATGATCAATTTCTGGCTACCAGGGACAGCCACACACCTATCGGAATTCAGCAGGGTGATCAGTGTATGGCCAGCTTAAGAGGATAGAAATGAGGGGGATAGGGGATGGGGAGAGATAGACAGAGGGAGAAAGCAAGGGAAAAAGTAGGGGGGAGGGTGTAGAGTTGTGATGGTCTGAACACCCCCCTGTCCGGTTCGCGGTCGAACATTCTAAGGAGAGTCGACTGCGAACTTCGAACCGTTCACTAAGCGGTACCTTACTGCATCCACTTTGTGGTAAGATATCGGTCAGCTACTAAAATACCACGAATTATATTATGAAGTCACGCGGTATTTTAGTAGTGAAAATATTCTGTATTGTTTCAGCTGTCAGTGGGGATCGCGGCTGACAGCTGAATGTCAAAAGAATTACTAATAATTAAAAAAAATAAGCAAAAAAAAACAGCGTTCCCCATCCATACCAAACCCTTCGGGTCTGGTATAGATTTTGAGGGGAACCCCCCCACACCATAGCTTTTTTAAAAAATGGCGTGGGGGTCCCCCCAAAATCCATACCAGGCCCTTATCGGAGCATGCAGCCTGGCAGGTCAGGAAACCATACCAGGCCACATGCCCCCAACATGGGGGGGGGGGGTGCTCTGTTTGATGGGGACAAGGTCCTCTTTCCCATAAACGTCGCCGGTGGTTGTGGGGGTCTGCAGGTGGGGGGCTTATTGGAATCTGGAAGCCCTCTTTAATAAGGGGGCCCCCAGATCCCAGCCCCACCATGTCAGTATGGGGTACATGGTATCACTACTCATTCACCCAAAAGAAAAAAGTGTTGTGTAAAGAATGACAGTTGACAGTTTTTAGCCGCCAATCCGAAAAACCAAAACCAACACTCCGCTCTCAACGCTGGCTCCCGGCCGTCTGACAGCTGCGTTGACCTAACAGCTCTTAAATATCTAGGGGGCGGGGCCACCCAGTGATCTCAACTACGTGACACCGCCCCTTTGTGACGATATCGTGCAATGTGCACTGGGCTGTTGGCCCGCCATGTCCCATCATGCGCGGTCAGAGCCCAGTGCATTGTGGGACATGGCGGGCCAACAGCGTGCCATGTCGTGCTTACTGTTTGTGTTTGCCAAACACACGAATGGACGATGTTTGAGTCAAACTTACTTTTGAATTGAACATTAAGCCCAAAATAAGTGTAGAGGTAATGACATTAAGAGGAGAGGGGGAGAGCGGAGGTGGGAGAGAAGCAGAATAGATAGAGGGAGATAGGGAAGAGGGGAATGAAAAAGAGCAAGTGGGAAAGGAGAGGAGAGTGAAGAAGTGAGAGATGAGTGAAGAGAGGAGAGGGGGAAGAGAAAAGGGAGAAGAGAGATGAAGAGATAAGGAGAGAGAAAAGGAGTGGGAGGTGATAGAGGAGGATAAGGACGGAGGGAGAGAGAAAGGCAAAGGGAGAAAGGAGAGGGAGAAAAGAAGGTGAAGGTGAGAGGAGGAGAGGTGAGTGGAGAGGAGAGGTGGATAGGTGAGGGGAAAGAGGAAGGAAGGAGAGATGAAAGGAGAAGGGGAGAGAGGAGGGGAGCAGTGATAGGAGATAGAGGAGGGTAAGGAAGGAGGGATAGAGAAAGAGAAGAGAAAAGAAGAGGTGAAGGTGAGAAGAGGAGAGGTGTGTGGAGAGGAGAGGAGGGTAGGTGAGGGGAAAAAGAGGAAGAAAGGAGAGATGAAAGGAGAAGGGGAGAGGTGATAGGAGATAGAGAAGGGAGGGTAAGGAAGGAGGGAGAGAGAAAGGGGAGAAGAGAAGAGGTGAAGGTGAGAAGAGGAGAGGTGAGGTGAGAGATGAGTGGGGAGGGGAGAGGATAGGTGAGGGGAAAGAGGAAGGGAGGAGAGAGATGAAAGAAGGGGAGAAAGGAGTGGGAGGTGATAGAGAAGGATAAGGAAGGAGGGAGAGAGAGAGAGAAAAGAGGCAAAGGGGAGAAGGAGAGGGAGAAAAGGTGAAGGTGAGATGAGGAGAAACAGAGGAAGAGGAAAGGTGGGAAAGAAGAGGGAAGGGGGATAGAAGAGAGGTGGGATATGAGTGGGGAGAGAATAAAAGAGAGAGGGAGTAGGACAAGACGGAAGGGGTGATAGAGGACAGTTAGTGGGGGGGGAGGAGGAGGACAGGGGAGAATGTAGGAGAGAGAGAGAAATTGAGAAAGAAAGCAGGAGAGAAAGAAGAGGGATAGGTGAAAAGTGAGGGGGGAGAGAGGAGAGATAAGTGGGGAAATGGAAGAGAGAGGAGTAGGAAAGGTGGGAAGTTTGGGGGGGGGAAATGACAGACGAGGGTTACGGGGGAGAGATAAGAGGTGGGAGATGAGTGTAGAGAGGGGACAAGAGCGGGACAAGAGAGGAGAGGTGACAGAGAACAGTTAGTGGGATAGGAGTGAGAGAAGGAGAAAGAGAGCAGGTGAGATAGAAGGGGGAAAGGTGATGAGTGGGGAGGGAGAGGTGAGAGATGAGTGGGGAGGGAGGAGGACGGGAGAGAGGAGAGGTGATAGAGGAGGGTTAGGGGAGTGAGAAACAGAGGAAGAGGGCAGGTGAAAAAGAAGAGGGAAGGGTGGGAGTGAGGGGGGGAGAGACATGATTGGGGAGAGTGGAGCAAAGAGACGAAACAAGAAGGAGGGGGCACTGCCAGGGTCACCATATCAGGGGGAACAATAGTTTTTGGGCCAGGTTTCCCGTCATCCCCGGGTGCTCATCCCCTCTCACAGCAGCCATCCGAACAGATCAAGCAGTGCAGAGACAGGAAGGAAGGAAACAGAGGAAGACAGACATTTATTGATGATACACGGAGTCCACGCCATTAGCAGTATCTCCCCCCAATCACAGGACAGACATTGGTGGCCCATCCACCAGCAGACATCTGGACAGTCATATACTCACAGCAATAATCTTCTGTGGTCACCCAGCCTGTGAGGTTCTAGAACAGCCAGAGAACAATAATCAGGGAATATCCTCTGATAGAGGGACACATACGGGGCGCCATCTAGTGACCGGTGGCTGAAACCGACTACAAATACAATTTAACTCTTTTCTCACCAGGACAACAGATGTGGTCATTTAACCCCTCGCCTACCGGGCACTTATACCCCCTTCTTTACCAGGCCAATTCTCAGCTTTCAGCGCTGCCGCACTTTGATTGACAATTGCGCGGTCATGCAACACTGTACCCATATGACATTTTTTATCATTTTCTTCTCACAAATAGAGCTTTCTTTGGTGGTATTGAATCCCCGCTGGGTGTTTTACTTTTTGCGCTATAAGCAAAAAAATTGCAAAAAATTTGAAAAAAAAAAGTTTCTTTGTTTCTATTATAAAATTTTGCAAACAGGTTATTTTTCTCCTTCACTGATGTACGTTGATAAGGCAGCACTGATGGGCACTGATAGGCAGCACTGAAGGGCACTGATAGGCAGCACTAATGAGGTGGCACGGATAGGCGGCACTGATAGGCGACACTGATGATGGGTACTGATAGACAGCTTTGATAGGTGGCACTGACTGGCATCACTGCTGGGCACTGACTGGCGGCACTGCTGGGCACTCACTGGCACAACCGCTGGGCACTGACTGGTGCCACTGACTGGCAGCACTGCTGGGCTGCACTGATGGGCACAGGTGTGTGGCACTGATGGGCACAGGTGTGTGGCACTGGTGGGCACAGGTGGGTGGCACTGCTGGGCACAGGTAGGTGGCATTTCTGGGCACACTTGTGTGACACTGCTGGGTGGCACAGGTGGATGCACTGCTGGGCACAGGTGGGTGCACTGCTGGGCACAGGTGGGCGGAGTTAGTGGGCGCACTGCTGGGCACAGGTGGGCGGAACGTGTGGGTGGCATTGCTAGGCGCCGATCATCAGGGCACTGATCATCAGTGCCCTGATGATCGGTGCCGATCCCCGCTCTGACAACTGCCGATTCCCGGCAGTGCTTTCCTCATGATCTGACAGCGTGAGGAAAGTGCAGCCGAGAACCGGCAATTGCATTTCCCGGCGTTCAGTGTGTCATTGGACACGGCTGATCACGTGGTAAAAGGCTGCTGTGATTGGCCTTTTACCACATCACGTGATCAGCTGTGTCCGTAGGACACAGCGATCATGGAGATCGCCGGATGCACGCCAGAGCGCGTTCTGGGAGGACGTCATATGACGCCCACCCAGAACTGGCCGGCCGCAGTGAATCAACCTTTTTTTTTTTCTTTTCTTACAGGTTAGATGCTCGGATTGTGTTGTGGAGTAATTTTGATTTATATTTTTGTCACTTTCAGAAATAATACACTTATACTTTAAAGTGCCACTAAATTCATTTGTGGAATAAATGCTCTCCTTGCATACAAGATGGCGGATGCTTACCACCAGTGGTCTATTTGGGTTTCCTGCTGCCCTAGGCAACACAAAATCATCTGCCCCCACAGACACCAACCAACACCCCCCCCCTCCCCCTCCCACGGAGAGAGCCTGACATTGATCAACAACGCCCCTGCCCCTCCACCTGGGAGGGCCTTCCACTACCCCCCAGCGATAGAGAGAAAGACACTCACTTTACAGCTCCGGACATCCCCGGGAACGGGAGTCGGGCTCTACATACACCATCAAGCAGCCCGCAGCTTCTCTCGGATCCCATCTGGCTCCCATGGTGTGCGTATCCCTTCTTTCATTCCCTCTTCTGGGGGGGGGGAGTACCGCCCCCTAAAACAATGCCGCCTTAGGCAAGTGCCTTGTTTGCCTTGTGGTAAATACACCCAATACCACTCCTGACATCCATACTGGGGATCTCCACTCTGATAAGAGATCAACATTTCTGAGAGTGTCCACCCCCTGGTCCCCTACAACACTCAAAAGGTTCCTCCCTCCCATCCCCACACAGTTTTTCTTAAAAATGATGGGTTCCATTTCCTATTCTTTTTTTTCTTGTTGTTTTGCAAACAATTGTATTTTGTGATCAAAGTTGTTTTTATGTTTTGTTACAGTAGTATTACTCTTAAAGGGCCCCAGACACATCTGTATATTGGCCAGAAGTAATCAGGTTTTAAATGTACAACCCTGGCCAAAAGGTTTTGAGAACAGAACACAAAAATTTATTTTCCTGCCAGGAAACACGTGCAGTCATTTTATTATAGGTACTTATATAGTGCCATCAATTTATGCAGCGCCTTGCATGTGTGTGTATATATATATATGTAGTACATTCATATCAGTCCCTAACCCTCAAGGGGCGTACAATCTAAGGTCCCTAACTCACATTCATACATACACATACTAGGGCCAGTTTAGACAGGAGCCAATTCACCTACCAGCATGTCTTTGGAGTGTGGGAGGAAACCGGAGTACCTGGAGGAAACCCACGCAGGCACAGGGAGAACATGCAAACTCCAGGCAGGTGTTGCCGTGGTTGGGATTTGAACCAGGGACCTGAGTACTGCCAGGTGGAAGTGCTAACCATTTAGCCACTGTGCTACCGTGTCAACATTGCTTTTCACAAAAAGGGATTCACAGGCGAGGCTATTGCTGCTACTAAGATTGCACCTAAATCAATCATTTATGGGATCATCAGGAACTTCAAGTAAGGAGGTTCAGTTGTTGTGAAAAAGGCTTCAGGGTGCCCAAGAAAGTTCAGCAAGTGCCCGGACCGTCTCCTAAAGTTGATTCAGCTGTGGGATTGGGGCACCACCAGTGTAGAGCTTGCTCAGGAATGGCAGCAGGCAGGCGTGAGTGCATCGGCACGCACAGTGAGAAGAAGACTTTTGGAGGGTGGCCTGGTATCAAGAAGGGCAGCAAAGAAGGCACTTCTCTCCAGGAAAACCATCAGGGACTGACTGATGTTCTGCAAAAGCAGTGGCATCCCTAGGGGGGTGCGGGCCTCACCGGGTGACACCATCACAGGGGGTGCAGGATGCCAGCGCAGTGGCAGTTGCCCCACGCCCCATTGTAGCGGTAAAATGAGTATCCCCTGAAGCAACTGCGTATGTTTTAGCCTGAAGAAGCCGATCGCCAGCTCTGTGCTAAAGTCGGAGATAGGCTTCTTCGGCCTGAAACCGGCACATGCGCAGTTGCTTCAGGGGATACATATCTTCAAGGGATACTCATTTTACTGCTACACAGGCACTGCTCCTTCCTCTTTGGAGGGGTGACACCACGTGCTACCGCTCTGGGTGACACTAACCCTAGGGACGCCACTGTGCAAAAGGTACAGGGACTGGACTGCTGAGGACTGGGGTAAAGTCATTTTCTCTGATGAATCCCCTTTCCGATTGTTTTGGGGACCCGGAAAAAACCCTGACTGGAGAAGAAAAGGTGAGCGCCACCATCGGTCCTGCGTCATGCCAACAGTAAAGCATCCTGAGACCATTCGTGTGTGTGGGCTGCTTCTCAGCCAAAGGAGTGGGCTCACCAAGGGAGAGGGCTCACCCCACAATTTTGCCTGAGAACACAGCCATGAATAAAGAATGGTCCAAAAAAATCCTCCAAGAGCAACTTCTCCCAACCAATCCAAGAACAGTTTGGTGATGAACAATGCCTTTTCCAGCATGATGGAGCACCTTGCCATAAACCAAAAGTGATAGCCAAGTGGCTTGGGGAACCAAACATCGACATTTTTGGGTCCTTTGCCAGGAAACTCCCCAGACCTTAATCCCATTGAGAACTTGTGGTCAATCCTCAAGAGGCGGGTGAACAAAAAAAACCCCACAAACTCCAAAAACTGCCCGTTCATGCCTAGCCTCATTTTCCTGTGTTGTAGTGCTGCACATTGGCTGTGCTTTACGGATCCTCTCTGTCATTACAAGCCGACCAGTCAGGTCAGATTGACTGAAAATAATAGACTTGAACCACTTCCAGTCCGGACACTTTCCCCCCCTTCCAGTCCGGACACTTTCACGCCCCTTCCACTCTGGACGCTTCCCCCCCCCTTCAGTCCGGACGCTTTCACCCCCTCCACTCCGGACGCTTTCACCCCCCTTCCAGTCCGGGACACTTTCCCCCTTCCAGTCCGGACACTTTCACCCCCCTTCCACTCCGGACGCTTTCACCCCCTTCCAGTCCGGACACTTTCACCCCCTTCCAGTCCGGACACTTTCACGCCCCTTCCACTCTGGACGCTTTCACCCCCCTTCCAGTCCGGACGCTTTCACCCCCTTCCACTCCGGACGCTTTCACCCCCTTCCAGTCCGGACACTTTCCCCCCTTCCAGTCCGGACGCTTTCACCCCCCTTCCACTCCGGACGCTTTCACCCCCCTTCCAGTCCGGACGCTTTCCCCCCCTTCCAGTCCGGACACTTTCACCCCCCTTCCACTCCGGACGCTTTCACCCCCCTTCCAGTCCGGACGCTTTCACCCCCCTTCCAGTCCAGACACCCCCCTTCCCGGACACTTTCACCCCCCCTCCACGGACGCTTTCACCCCTTCCAGTCCGGACGCTTTCCCCCCTTCCAATCCGGACCTTTCACCCCCTTCCAGTCCGGACGCCCACTTTCCCCCCCTTTCCGGACACCCCCCCCTTCCAGTCCGGACGCTTTCACCCCCCTTCCAGTCCGGACGCGCTTTCCAGTCCGGACCCCCCCCTTCCAGTCCGGACGCTTTCCCCCCCTTCCAGTCCGGACGCTTTCCCCCCCCTTCCAGTCCGGACGCTTTTTCCCCCCCCTTCCCCCCCGGACGCTTCCCCCCCCCCCAGTCCGGACGCTTTCCCCCCCTTCCAGTCCGGACGCTTTCACCCCCCTTCCAGTCCGGACGCTTTCACCCCCCTTCCAGTCCGGACGCTTTCCGGTCCGGACGCTTTCCCCCCCCTTCCAGTCCGGACGCTTTCCCCCCCTTCCAGTCCGGGCGCTTTCCCCCCCCCCCCTTCCAGTCCGGGCGCTTTCCCCCCCTTCCCAGTCTGGGCGCTTTTCCAGTCCCCTTTCCCCCCTTCCAGTCCGGACGCTTTCCCCCCCCTCCAGTCCGGACGCTTCCCCCCCCTTCCAGTCCGGGCGCTTTCCCCCCCTTCCAGTCCGGACGCTTTCCCCCGGACGCTTTCCCCCCCTTCCAGTCCGGACGCTTTCCCCCCCTTCCAGTCCGGACGCTTTCCCCCCCTTCCAGTCCGGACGCTTTCCCCCCCTTCCAGTCCGGACGCTTTCCCCCCCTTCCAGTCCGGACGCTTTCCCCCCCTTCCAGTCCGGACGCTTTTCCCCCCTTCCAGTCCGGACGCTTTCCCCCCTTCCAGTCCGGACGCTTTCACCCCCTTCCAGTCCGGACGCTTTCACCCCCTTCCAGTCCGGGCGCTTTCCCCCCCTTCCAGTCCGGGCGCTTTCACCCCCTTCCAGTCCGGGCACTTTCACCCCCCTTCCCCCAGGCGCTTTCACCCCCTTCCAGTCCTGGACACACTTTGAATGACAATTGCGCAGTCATGCAACACTGTACCCATATGAATTTTTTTGCATTTTTTTGAGACAGATAAAACTTTATTTTGATGGTATTTATTCACCGCTGGGATTTTTATTTTTTTTTTTGCTATATAAATGAAAAAGTCCAACAATTTTGAAAAAAAAAGTGTTTTTCTTATAAAATTTAGCAAATAACTAATCTTTCTTCAGAAATCTTGGCCAAAATGTATTCGCCTATCTTTTTAGTAAAAAAAAAAAAAAAAATAACCCAAATTATTTTATAACCAAAAATTAAAATGTAAAAAAATTTTTTTTTACATTTTTATTTTTTTTATATTATTTAGGGTTTTTTTTTAGTGACACTGTACTACTTGTGGGGGGTGATGAAGATTTTTTTGTTTTTTACACTGATTGCTTTTACACCTATAAAGGCTGTAAAAACAATCATTTCTCCTTCTCTCTGGCTG